CCCCAAAACCCCAAAACCCCAAAACCCCAAAACCCCTGCGATAAATTTAAAAATTGAACTAAATAATTGGGTATAAATAAAATTAACAAGTATGAGTTCATCAGGGGTGATTAAGAGTAAGTATTGGAAGAGGACATTATATGATGTTTGGCATTGATTTACTGCTTAGTGATATCGAGGATCGGATTTATCTGGGTTTTAGCAAACCTCAAGTGATTTAGCATTCGCAATAAGAGATTAAAGGAAGAATCAATCTCTTGAAATATTTTTCATGATTTCTGATATTGTTTTGGACTATTATGAATACTGAATAATTAAGTATAGATCATATGCTTCCTCCAAAGTCAAAGAGATCCCATAGAAGGAAGCCCAATAGTAGGAATGTGGCAGAGATTTTTGATAATGAGTCCACTCCAGTGTAAGTAGAATCAACTTGTTTTACCCAAAATATAAAAATTTAAAATTTTGCCTCAAAAAATTAGATTTTATTTAAGTTAACAGTTCAGCTGTTTTTGCTTTTTGAGTTTCTGTTATGTAATCTTCATTAACTTTGTTAAATTTCTGTATTGGCAAGTTTAATTTATTGCTTTATAAATATACAAATTTAACAAAATCAAATAGCTACAACACTATGCCGGCAAGGAAAGAAGAGATACTCAAATCTCGGATTGAAGAAGAGCAGTAAGCCCCTTATTCGATGGTTGGTTATTTATCATCACAAGGTTCAGATATTTCTATTTCACTGTGAAAAATCTTTTCAGTTTACTTTGATTATCCACAATGATGATCTGGGAAATCTTGCTAATAATGCTATAGGAATCTGAGGAGGAGCTATCCGAATATAGGCTCTAATGAGATGCACAATTATGAAGGACGTAGATCTGTGAAATCGTCCGTGAACTCACACAAAAACGGATATTTCCCAGAATCAAATGAAAGTTATCAGTAAGGATAGTTGAATTTATCATATAGTGCTCAGAGAAGGAGTTACTTAATTCACCCGAATCATGACCCTCATAACTCGCCTTTCTTCTCTAATAGTGGGTCTGGGCCGACATATGTCACTGATACTGAGCATTTCAGCCAAATAAGGTAAAAGTTTTGTGCTGGGTTATTTAGAATCCAATTCTAGCTCGAAGTATATATTTCTTGCTCTAAATTCCTTGAAGTTTTTTGTATTTAACCTTAAATAATTACTAATATGGCTTAGAGAGATCAATGAGAGGATTTCAAGGCTTGAAAAGTTAATCTGGAAGGTATATAAAGAAGTAAACCACAAAATCGATAACGCAACAAGTCTCCAAGCAGAGAACCTCGAAGAAGTCAAGGATTCAGTCGGTATGAGTCCTATTTTTATTACTATAGGCAACATATTTGATTATGTAAATGTCGAGATTGAGAGTAAGCGCCATTCCTCAACTACAGCTATGAAATCAACAGTTGATCAGACCAATTTCAGAAGTCCAGAGGGAGCTATCGAGCATTCTCCTGAAGAATTCGAAGCTGAAGCTGCTTCAGAAGAAGTCAAAATCCAAGCACAGCTTGATTCAGTCATTGAGGAAGGTATCTAAGTTGGTTTATTTTTAGAATCTGGGGAAAATGAGAGTGAAGAATATGCTCTCCGCTCTTTTTGATCCAGCAATGAGTAAGCATCACAATTTTGACATTTTTTTCTGTAAATTTAGTTTCAAAGTGCTTCAACTGTGTTTAGACCCACATCGGAAGATGTAGATGTCTATGATCAAGGTAAGTCAGAGCTTTTAGTGATGTGTTGTAGCTTAAAGATTTTATTAATTGATTTTTAGAAAGCAACCAGGAGGTGGATGAGAAGAGAAGCGATGATCCACCTGAATTCTACTATAGTTGTCATGAGAAAATGGTGAATAGTAAGTTAAGTATATGAGATATGAAGTTTATTCTTAATATAGATAATAACTCCAGTTTACTAATGGATCCAAGGGATATAATAACAGCTCCGAATATGTCGAGGACTACTCTCATGGGTAAGTTTCATCTTAGTCTTGCATTTTTCAAATATTTATGAACTGGACTCACTATTTTAGATCAGATTGATTACTCGTTGGCTAACAGCAAGCTTAGTGAATTTTCTGAGGATAATAAGTTAGCGATAAATATACTCAATCTTAAATAAATACAACAAAGAGCATCATGGATCAAAGAAGGGTCCGAAGAGATCTAAGAATAATTTAGAGGGCGAGTCACAGTCTGAACACAATATTTCTGATATTTTGTATACCTCTGTAGTAACATTTAGACCGCTCAGCCAGAAAGTGTTTAAATATAGCATGGTTGGGAGCTCTCTCTAAGTGTGAGAGAGGTATAACTCCAAGCTTATTTTCAAAAATTGCATCAATTTCCAAGGAATATAAAATATGGATTAAAATTTCAATCTGAAACAAATTTAATGGGGTTTTGGGGTTTTGGGGTTTTGGGGTTTTGGGGTTTTGGGG